TTCTCCATTGTGTATTTTTTTAACAAGATAGCAAAGCTACGCGCATAGGATTGTGGGCGATTTGAGAGCGCGAAGAGCGCGAAGTCTACACATATGCATCCTTTCCTGTGTATGGGATATTTTCCGAACGAAGGACTCAGTCCTTGGTTGAAATTCTGAGGATCCTCGACATTGGAACAGTCCTTCGACGGATGTCGATGACGTAGCATCCTCGAAATTCCGGCTTCCGAGGATCCTTCCTTGACATTGAGAAACGGCTCCTGTGTGAATGCACTCATTGATTAACATACGCGCCGCTCACGGATGCGGTGTGAAACGGCCGATACACACCATCATGTACACATAAATCTCTGACCCATCGGCCATCGTCTTCTTCCTCGTCTAATTTCTGTCGCTCTGCATACGTCATCTGGTATAATTGAAACGATTGGCTATGAGCTACGTACAGGCGCATTTGATAGACATTCTTAGCACCCAATAAACGGCGCCGGGCATTCGTAAACCATGCCTCAAATACGAGAGAATGTACATGTGGTTCCCAGACCCAAGTCTCAACGAGAATTGGGTCTGGCGTTAGCCAGGCTACCGTTGAGGAGTAATTATGCTCGATCCAGAAATCGTCGGGCCAATCAGATTGCCAGGGCTGGGTATTCGGCCCAAACCCAGAGCAAGCTACTCCCCCCGTATTCCTGGCTGTGAAAGAACAAGCCAAGAGTGAGGAGTCGGGGTGGTGGAGGGATGCTGAAAAACTGTCAAGGAGTGTTAGGTGAGTTAGAGTGAATATGCTTCCTCTCATGCTGATAGGGTAACGTTAGACATTAGGGGTGTAACGGTTCACAAAATTCACGGTTCGGTTCGATACGATACACTTGTGTCACTGTTTCCGATACAGCAAAAAGAAAGAAATGCCAGAGAAATTTCCTTGATTTAATTTTTTTAATTATATTTTTATTAAAACTAACATCATAAAGTATGATATTTTTTAACTTTGAGCAATGATGGAGCTATACTTGACTTTTCTTAGGAGCTTATAAAACAAAACAGCTCCTTGGACAAAATTAAATGTAATATTGTAGGCTAGTAGTTATAAACAAAGGTTTATTTTAGTTCATATTAACATTTGAGGGCAGCAATCGTATTCATAATGTCGAAATAAAACCGACGTAATGTTACTTGAAAAAGCATTATAGCTGACTATTCCTGCCAAACTCCCATGGTTACAGTTAGTAGTGTTACTACAGTAAACCCATGGTGAATGTTGCTGATCTGTGGACACTGGATAGTTCATTCATGGCACAATGTTTCTTCCTGGTTTCCACGTCAGCGCTGTTTGATCCGTTAATAACGGAGAAATGCGAATGTTTCTCACTAGATCTCGCAGCGATGTTATTACTTCAGTGGCGAATTCAATTTTTTTCTTGACTGGATTCGGCTGTGTAGTGACAGTGCTGATGATTTAAGATCGGCTCGCGCTGCATTGGTCCAAACTGATAAACGGTCCGTCAAACACACAATAACGAGTGGTTTCGTTCCACTTACATTACATTTGCCATTTGATGTTGGGCAATGTTGTGGTCACGCCAGCGTCTCTTACATTATGAGCGTGCTTGCCACGCGTGACGCGCCTACATTTGAAATAACAAAATTTTGGTCGCCAGGAAAAATGGTCCAACGAACCGTTCGGTTCAAAAATGCGTACCGAAAACCGAACCGAAAGCCTCGTACCGAACGGTTCAATACGAATACGTGTATCGTTACACCCCTATTAGACATGGTATTGTTTAATGACTAGTTGAGTGGATTGATTATTTGAACTTGCTCCTCCCGAACTTTGTTTATGAAACATCATGTGTAGATTCCGCCATCGCGTCTGTTATAGAAGATATCGACTGCGCATTCATTTTAAAGGAGGAACCATAGACAGTAAAAGAAAGGGAGGAACAGAGAACCGCGATCAAGGCATTTGTCGATCGGAAAGATGAATGAAGAACATGCGTCATTTACTCCGTTGCTCTGATTGGTTGTAGGTCTATCCAATTGAGTGCAGAGGCATTTTCTTTCCTGGTTCGGTTAAAACACGCATAGATATCCATAATAAAGGCTAGATGTCTCGTCCGCGCTGCTGGCCAATGGAGGTCGACGTCCGCACCTGGCGGCCATCTTGTCACAGGCAGCTCTCTCACTCGTAACATTGTGTTTTAATGGTGCATGTACTTTTTAAATAACTTGCTCAATTTTCTACCGATTTTCAAACGGTTTGGTTTGTTATAAACGTCAGAGATTTAGTTATGACACTGCACACTTATGAATAATAAGTGTATCAATAAATAATCATCCAGAAGCAGGGCCGTCGCTAGTGGGGTGAAAGGTGGTGACAATTATAGGGGCCCCCGCTGCCCAGGGGGCCCAACAAAATCCAGCAGTTATACTATTTAGGCCCCTGTTGTATGAATAATTCTAATATTTATATTAGTTGTATGCCTGAGATTTAAATGAAAACCACAAAAACGTGCAATTTGGGTAAATATTTTTCCAAATATCTGCTTCTCTTACCTCCATAAAAATGGTTTAGTCCGACCTAAAGTATGTATTGATTATTCAGTCAGAGTCAGTGACAAACATCAGATGGACCCAATAAAATTGTAAGTCCCGCCCCAGCTCGTGAACAGAACCAATCAGAGTTGAGGCGGCAGCCTGAAGTTAACGATGAAGTTGGTGGAAGAGCAGGAGACTGACTGACTGAAAAATGTCGGGGAAAAGAAAACAAATCAGGTACCAGAAATGCCAGGAAAAGATGGAGAGGGAGGCAAGGAGAGTGGTTGTATCCTAGTCGATCAAGACGTTCTTAAAGACCGGTTATATATTGTTATTTCGCTGGGAATTAGAAAACTTCCGTCTACAGTCTGCCGTGTACAGTCATTTTTTATTATCGGTGCGCGCCGCAATCGACCGAATGATTAGGCCTACGTGGTCTAAATTCCTGTCTTTTTACAGTATTGTAACTAGAGTTTTAAAAAAAATTACACGAGTCACGACGCATTGCATTATGCATCTGACCTGCCGGCTGATGATATTTAAAACATCGAGAAAACACGAATACAACACACTGCACTTGGATGAATAAATGTAGTCGCTTTATTTAATAATATTACCAGTTCTATATTATCTTTATAAAAAAAAAAAATCTATAATACTTTTTGATTTATGAATTATAAAAATATTAAAAAAATATTACTTTTTAAAAATTGGTTTTATTATTATTTAACAATTTCTTGCTTTTTTATTAGTTGTAATTTTTATATAAACATTTAACTTTTAAAATAAAGGTTTTACAACAACATCACCATCTTCTGTTATGTGGGCCTCCATGTTTATCTATTGTACAGTATATGATATTGGTGGAGGGTGGTGGGGGCCCACATCAATATTTTTTCAGGGGGCCCCGAATCCTCTAGCTACGGCCCTGTCCAGAAGTATAGCACGTTAATAACGTTTGTAAGAAACCAAACCGTTTGTAAATCTGTCAAGATTTCAACGAGATAAGAGTATTTGTGTTCGTGCGGATCACTCATCTTACATCAGGCACCACAGAGCCCGCCAGAAAGCTTGCCTGTGACAAGATGGCCGCCGGTGATGACGATAGAGACTCCACCGTAAGACATCTAGCCTTTATTATGGATATCTATGGAAACACGCCCCATAATCACAGCCCAACGGAGCAGTATCAGACTCACATTCTGACTAGAATCTGAGTATGACGAAGTCAGGCTACTATGATTCCCTCCTGTCGGAGGATATCAAAAAATGTTTGATATTTTGAGCCGATTTTAGAACATTGTAGTGTATAACGCGTCTAGCAGTGTTGCAATAAATAAACAATACAAAAGTAAATTAACACGCGTAATAAATTAGCTCATTAATGTGAATCATCAGCACAGATAAAACCACTGACTGCACCACTCAACTCTAATTCCCATTGTGATCTGTGGAGTCCATATACTGACCGCATCTATTCACCCAAGACTGTGGGCGCTTGACTTGTTTGTCTGTTGTGATTCAGCACAGACTCGCGACTGCACTCATCTCCTGCACATCCATGTTCTTTTCATCTGTCATGTGTCTCCTCGCAACGAGCCGTGTGTTTCTTGTTGCGTTCAGAACGATTTTTAAGTCTGGTAGTGGGATCCTCAGTCGTTTAGTGTTTGATGCCCAGTTTTTCTCTGTAACCGTTTACAAAGTCAGCAATTCTATGATGCCTAGTGTTTTAAAATCTGGCGTGTAATGGATTCTAGCCTTAAATTGCTTTATCAACTTTCTCAGACTTCTTCATCTGTCTGTTTTTGTCTGATATTTAGATTTAGGGGTAGGTTTAGGGTTAGTACCTAGTTATTACCCTGCTATTGTAATTACTATAAGTACATAGTATGTACATGGGAAACAGGACTGTAAAATTAAGTGCCATGATATTATCATGTTTTTTGAAGAAGTACCACAGGTGTGCCTTTGTATTGTTTTATGTATTTTGTAAGGATTACACTGCTTTTAAATACACTGTTCATTTTGCAGATGCTTTTGTCCAAAGTGACATGCAAACATCTATGCAACCTGGAGTTTTTGGTGTAATTGTGAGTTTGATTTGGCAGTATTTTAATATTGTCCTTCCATTAATTTCAGAGCTTATTGACTTTTAACATCAGCACGACTTCAACATAAAAAAAAAAACATCCTTCAAAAAAACACCACCATTTCAAAACATAAAATGAAAAATACACACCTTTTAAAATGAGTAATCACATAACCTTTAAAAAAACGGTGTTGATTTACTTAAACATTTTCCCCAAAAAATTCACAAATAATTACAATGTAACGGCGTTGCATTAAATGTGAAATTTTGATGTAGAACAACTAAAATAGTACATACTCCAATAATGTTATATTTACAACTTCAAAAGATATTTTTTTACAGTATACATAAAAACTTACATATTAAACATTATAATTACCTATGAACATTGTACACATTATTGTCCTAAAATGTTGTGAATGTCTTTAAGGTTGATGAGAGCTGTGATCTTGTAGAACCGCTTGTTGAATCCGCTTTTCTCTCTGTAAGTTGCTTTATCAGCTCTTTGACTTTCTTCCTGAAGTTCTTGCCCACGATCACGTAGAGTATCGGGTTCAACACGCTGTTGCTCAAAGCCAAGTAGGTGAATATCTGATTGGAGACGTCGAGACCGGAATTAAAGTCGCATCCGCCGAGGAGGCCGAAGCGCACCAGGATATCTATAAGGGTCACGAGGTGGAACGGCACCCAACACAAGAGAAACACCAACAGCACGACCAGAACCAGGAGGGTGGCTTTCCTTTCCGTGTTTTCTGCGTTAAAGCGGTCGACGACTTGCTTGCTCAGGGCTCGAATGATCTTCAGCGTGCAGTAGGTGATCACCAAAATTGGGATGATGAAGCCGAGCAAAATGAGAAGGATGTCGCAAACGAGGCTGACACCTTGACTCGGATAGTTCAGAATACAAGCCGTGACGTTCAGCTCCGGGATGAATTGAGTATCCCGGAAATGAAGCGTTGGGATGCTGAGGATTAATCCGAAACACCAAACGGCGATGCAGTTGAGCTTGGCGTATCGTGGTCGTCTCATTCTACCGCGAGACATGGCATGAACGAGTGCAACGTAACGATCTGCGCTGACCAACACTAGTAAGTAAATACTGCAAAACATGTTCATTCTGATGCCTGCGTTGACCAAACGGCACATAACCGACCCAAATCGCCATTCAAAACCATTGGCGATGTTGATCGCCCAGAACGGCAGACACAAAACCAACAGGAGGTCGGCGGCCGCCAGGTTTCCCAGGTAGATTTCTGCCACCGTACATGCTTTCTTATGCAGGCCGAAGACCAGCAGGACGAAGATGTTTCCCAGAATTCCCAGCACGCAGATGATGAACATGTAAGCAGGCTGCATGATGTACAACCAGTCCCACACTTCCCAATGCGGACACTGGGTGTCATTGGTGAGGTTGTTCCTTGAGATGGTCGTAGGAATTGTAGAAAGGATTGATAATGTTGTTGCTTTTATGTCGTGCTCCATGTTTCTGTGAAGAGAAGAGATGTTTAGCGTCAGTTTTTAAATTTAATTTAATAATTCGTTACATTTATATAGTGCTTTTCTGGGTACTCAAAGCACTATATATGGAAGGGGGAATATCTCCTCAACCACCAGCAATGAGCAGCATCACCTGGATGATCATGCAACAACAGCCATATTGCGCCAGAACGCCCACCCCCCCCCCACACACACACACACACTTACTGGTGGACAGGAGACAGTGATGAACCCAATCAGTATATGGAGATGATTAGGAAGCCATGATTGACAGAGTCAGAGTCAAAGTTCATGGCTCACTTTAAACCAAAGAATAACAGTTACTTTAAGCACTATGATATATAACACATTGACAACGAAAATGCCTATTTCTCTGTTTAATCAAATAGTGCATTGTAATTCTGTGCATAATCATAACACCAGAAAGGCAAATAATGGTCATATAACGACCCCCTATCCAAAAACTAATTTTATGAAGAAAACCGTCCTGTATAGAGCTATACAGTGCCGCTGCTAGCCATTTTGGTGCCCTAAGCATAATTCCTTTATGATGCCCCCCCCCCCCCCCCCCCCCCCCCCCCCCCTAAAAAAAACATTTTCATTTAGGATTTTCATTTAGGGGGGCTAAGCCCCCAATGAGGGTATGATTTATAAAAAAAATTAAAAAGCTAAAAAGTAACACTTTAGATTAGGGTCTAATGCTTACTATTAACTAGTTTCATTACCATGCAATGGCATGGTTTTATAATCACTGGGATCCCGAATTTGAGGCAGGTTAGTTAGGGGTGTTCGGGGGAAATTTAGGATTTTTCTGAACTACAGATGTGCATTTTAAGATGTTGTGAAGAAAAAAAAGAAAAAAAATTCGATAACAACAGCTTTAAAACCATATCAGTGGGCAGCTGATTATTTTTCTCTCCTCATCAGCATCACACTCTTTTTCTCTTTGTTTTTCTCTTGCCCTGTCTCTTCCCCTCCTAAAGCTGAGCTTTTTTAATTTACTAAAGGTTACAATTTGTATTTTATTCTCAATATGTACACATTCATTATAAATCCTGTGCCTAACATGATGAAAACGGCTTTGTTCATGTTTCTTGTCCCCTCACAATGACAGTAGCCTAAACTATTACACTAGGCTACATGTTACCTATTTTCAGTTCAAAATGGCGAAATTAGACACAACTATATTAGTTTGCCTAATTATTTTTTGTCATTCGTTTAACATTTATGACCTAAAAAAAACTGTCAAATAAAGTTAAGTTTAGCTACTTACATCTTATCTCGCACTTGACCGTACACTGAAGCGTCGAGTTGCACTGTAAAAATTCGCGCTCAGCGTCTGTGAACATAAAGCCCGCCTACTTTGATTTGATTGGTCATCTCAAATATTCTGACATTGACGAGCAGTGACAGACCAATGAGGCTCAGAAGAACACACACATGAACACACACACACACACACACACTGTCCTGTGTTTCTGACGTGCTCTCTGTCTCTGCTCGGCGCCGCTGCGGAATGAAGAGGAAGAACGCGCTGAATCTGATTATAACAAGAAGTTTGATGATTGGTTTTTCATTAGGCTATTTTTGGTGCCCCCTCAGCACTTGGTGCCCTACGCACAGCGCGTGATGCGCGTGGTGGGAGCGGCGGCGCTGGAGCTATAGTCGTCTGGAATAACATTCCCATTGAAGTTCGTCAGCTTTGTAATAAGCTGTCATTTAAAAGAAGTTTAAGGTGTTATGTGTTGATGTAGGTTCTTATATGTTTTGATTAAGGTAATTGTAAATAATATGGTATTTATATTTAGTCTCATTATGAATTGAAACTAGATTGTATGTATGTATGAGTGTGTGTGTGTATGTATGTACATGAAATGTGTATACAGTATGTGTTAACTGTGATGATTGAAATGTTGTTGTTTTTGTTGTAATGTAATTTTATTTTTAGAATGGCCCCCAGAAAGACTAGCTGATTGCACAGACTTTCAGATAATGGGATCCTAAAAATAAACAAAAATAAACAGAGTCCAAGGGGCAAATTTGGCCAGGATGCCGGGGTTAAACCCCTACTCTTTTTCGAAGGATATCCTAGGATTTTTAATGACCACAGAGAGTCAGGACCTCTGTGTCACGTTACGCTAAATAGAACCCAAGCGCAGACAGTGACTTTCACAAAACACGGTTTATTTACAACTAGAAACAAAGACCCACGATGGGGCAAACAAACAATAACTAGACTTAACAATAAAACGGAGCTGGAACATTCACAGACAGATCACAATACTCACAGAACTGAATGTTAACAAGACAAACAAGCACTGAGGAACAAACACCGGGAGCTTACATAGAACACATAATTACAAAGGTACAGGTGACACTGATGAACATCAATACTAACGAGGGCACAAGGGGCCGGGCAAGGACACGTGATCACAATCAACATTAACTAACAAGGAAACGAGGTAAAACATAAGACAATGCAAACACATCCAAAAACACCCGGCCATGTGTTAGCACACAAAACAAGAGACAAATACATGACACTCGGTTTAACGTCTCATCCGAAGGACGGTGCTCTTTGACAGTATAGTGTCGCCGTCACTACACTGGGGCGTTAGGACCCACACAGACCACAGGGTGAGCGCCCCCTGCTGGCCTCACTAACACCTCTTTCAGGAGCAACCTGGTTTTCTCAGGAGTCTCCCATCCAGGAACTGACCAGTCTCAGCCCTGCTTGGCTTCAGTGGGGAACTTGGGGTACAGGGTGATATGGCAGCTGGATGGAATAATATTAAATGGAATAATATTACTTTTTCTTATTGATACACTGCCATTAAAAAGTTTTAAAGGAGGATTTAAAGAAAGATTTTAGGAAAGTAATGGTTTTATATGACAGGAACGCATTAAATTGACCTTAAGCGACATTTATTTGTTACAAAAGATTTGAAATATACATTTTTTATTCATTAAAGAATCCTGGGAAAAAAATTAATCATGGTTTCCCAAAAAATATATTTAGTTGTTTTCAATATTGATGATAAAAAGAAATGCTTGTAATGTAAAATACATTCAAAAATAATTAGAACATTACAATAACATTAGAAAATAGTTATTTTTAATTGTATTAAACTACGGGGCTGTTGAATGCTTGAATCTGATTGGCTGACAAACATTCTAAGGTGGGCAATTTTTTTCAGCGAAACGTATGGCTAAAGTAGTTCCAGCAGGTCTCGAATGCATTACAGTTCCATATCACTTCGCCACATGATTTCAGTTATTTCAAAGGTCTTTACAGCCCACAGAACCAATACCCACAAAGCCACTGATGTACTTTATATATTATGTATGCATTATGGAAAAGTACAATCTCTTTCTCCCGCACTCAAACGCACACACATACAGTACGGAGAAACTCAGGCAAAAACGTGTCGTTGGGTATTTTTTGGGTGTGTCGCTTATTCCATACTTAATATTTCACATTTTTGTGTGTGTTTTTGATCAAATAAATGCAGCCTTGGTGATTGTGTTTGAGTAGCTTTTAACACGTTGCGGTATTTTGTCAATTGTTGCTTCCTTGTTCGACCTTTACAGGAGTTGTGCCGTAGAAATATTGGATGGGAAGATCCTCTTCCTGATGACTTATTCCTACGGTGGGAGGAGTGGAAAAGTAGCCTAGTTTTCAGGACCTGAAAGATTTCAGCATTCAAAGATGCTATCATACGCCATCTTTTAGTAAAATTGTCTGGACAGAACTGCACCATTTCTCTGATGCAAGCAACCTGGGGTATGGTGAATCTTCCTATCTTAGGTTCAAGAATGACAAAGATGAAGTACACTGTAGTCTCGTAATGGCCAAAGCTCGAGTTGCACCCACAAAGATCAAAAGCATTCTGAGACTGGAATTGTCTGCTGCTGTAGTTTCAGCCAGAATAAGTGTTATGTTAAAGGCTGAACTGGAACTGAAGATTGATCAAGAGTTCTTTTGGACTGACTTGCAGGTTGTACTAGCATATGTCAACAATGAAGCCAGAAGGTTTCATGTGTTTGTTGCAAATCGTGTGGAGCTAATCAGGGAAAATAAAAATACAAGCCAGTGGTATTATGTCAACACTGAAAATCCTGCTGATCATGTTTCTAGAGTTCTTGTTTCAGACATATCTTTAACAAACTGGATGTCAACACCCAAATTTTTATGGGAACGAGAAGTGTGTCCAACTCCTAACACCTCAAATAATCTACTCGCGGGAGATCCTGAAGTCAGACTAGTTCAAGCATTTGTGACGTTCTTGAACGATTTAGTCACTTTTCTTCCTGGAGAACCCTCATTAATGTGATTGCTAGAATAAAAAGGCTGGCCTCAAGACAGAAATGTCTTAATGACTTTGTAACTGTGGAAGAACAAGAAAAGGCATCTGAGGTTGTTATCAAGCTCGTTCAACAACAGGCTTTTTCCCAAGAGATGAGAAATTCAAGGAGGGAAGGTTCTTCAGAAATCAAGTGTACTTTCTCATCTCGATCCTATTTTGAAAGATGGTCTTCTTCGTGTCGGAGGAAGGTTGAAACAGCCATCTCTTAGTAAAGAGTTCAAGCATCCAGTGATTTTGCCAAAAGACAGTCACGTCACCAAACTTATTTTGACATACTATCATGCCAAAATTTGTCATCAAGGGAGGTATCAATGGATGTCCGAGCAAATGGATTTTGGGTTATCGGTGGCAGTAGATCAGTAGCTAAATTGATTTACAAATGTGCACAATGTAGGAAGCCAAGACGGCCAGAAGAGTGGCTCAGCAAATGGCTGAGCTTCCTAAAGAACGGATTGACGCCTCTTCCCCTTTCTGCTACACTGGTATGGACTGTTTTGGCCCGTTTATCATAAAGAAGGGTCGAAAGGAGTATCAAAGATATGGTCTTCTCTTCACTTGCCTTTCTTCCCGAGCTGTCCATTGTAGTTGAGGTCATTCAAGGGAGCGATGGCTTAGTCCGACG